GGACTTATTTTAAAAAGGGGGGTTTTCCAAATTTCCTTTCCCCCTTTTTTTTGGGGGGGAATTTGGGGTTTAAACCCCCCCCCCCCCCCCCCCCCCCCCCCCAAGAATGAGGTGCATATAAGGTAGAAGGTCTGTAGAATGCCGCACCACTCGCGGTTAAGTTCCTGAGTGGCGAACCGAGATCGATGAAGTCAAATCGGTGAAGAGCCAATCCAGAAATTCGATTTAAAGCGCGTTGGTCCGACTCAAAGCTGAGCGCCCCGAAAAGCAAATACGCAAACGGAGTTTCACTTTAAGGAGACGAAGCTCACAAGAAGCTATAATAGCTACCCTCGTTTGCCTTGCGAATTCGGGAGGTTCCCAGGGTTTTTTTTTCTGGCGATCTCGTAGTTTAACCCACCGGCTGTGCCTGGCGGGCCTTCAGGAGAAGTTACCACTTGCATTTGCCGTGACTTGTTCCACGAGACAGAAACAGAAAGAGGTGGTATTGCCCCCCCTTGTGGCCGTATTATTTCGGCCTTTCGAAATCCCCCATCGGGAAAAAACTCAATTCCTGCGTTTTTGCTCCCTCGTTTTCCGCGATGCTTGCATGGTACGGTACGCGTGTGGCGTGTCTCTCGAACAGCGAGCGGATTGCTTCGGCTGCTGCGACCCCTCCAGTGGCAGCACCTCTACATCCCCCTGCTGCCTATGTCTTGCCGGCACGTGCTCAAGCACGCCGTGGACGCCAAGGAGCCCTTCCTTATCGGCACCTGCACCACTGTCCTCGAGAGGTAAAGCGGGCTCGATCTTCCTAGATTTGTGGAATGGGAAGTCTTGTTCTTGCAGGAGACCCCCCAAGTCTCGGAGATTGGCGAGGCATTCAATCGGGTGTAAAATAGGCGTATTTTGCCAGCCAGCCCCCTTACCCCCCGATTATAGTGTTGATACGTTGAATGAGTCATGGGTCACCCGCACGCCCTGTCAACTGCTGTCGGTTCACGCGGTGTTCCCCCACCTGCTTTCTGGGGTGCCACGATCCTCCATCTGGTGCTTTTGACGCCCGCAGCTTCTCCCGGCCTGGTCACGGCTACGCCGCTAACTCTGCCGGTTTCGGCGGCGGTGGTGGCGGGAGAGGGGACGGCAACCTCACTCCGCCTCCAAACGACGCTCAGAACTCAAGCGGGGGTGGTGGGAGCAGCAACGTCCCTCCGGCGGTGAGCTGAGTGGCGTGATACATGCGGTACTTATGCGCCCCCATGCACATGTGGACAGATTTTTTCATGGGCAAGGTATTGGCTCTGATGGCTGTGCCACGTGCTGTGATACCACAGCACGCGATTTTGGATTCAAAGAGATTTGTCTGGGGGACAAAGGAAGGTTTAACGTTTTTTTCCGGTCGTACTACCGTTCGCCCCGGTCGTCTAGTTGGTATCCTCGATCCCGTCGAGAGGTTAGGTCAGGGGTTCGAATCCCGGCGTGAGCGAGCTTTTCTTGCAAAGCCAGTTTTTCTCTCGCTTCCGCTCCTGGCCTAGTGGATAGCGCTAGTTCGTGTGCACACAGAGGGGAGAGAGTGCTGAACACTCCTCGCATTAAAAATCGAAGGCAATGTACGGCAGGAGGGGAGGGCAGAGAGGGGTCCTTCTGTGTGGCCACCGGTTGGAGTAAACCTCACTATATTAGTGCTGAGAGCGCTGATTTGAAGTGAAGACAAAAAAAAAAAATGCAGAGATGCACATTACCCTTCAACAGTGGCGACGTCTCTTTACGTACGCAAGCGGCACTCATGTTAGCGAACCACGAAACATGCTGCGGGGCTGCCAGCAAGAGCGCTCGCTTAGAGCTGTGTTTTGCTGCTGACGAACGTTTTGCAATTTACCAAAGGGAAGGTATTATAGTAAACATGGAGAACTCCGGCGCTGAAGTCTCATTCCATCTCGCCCGTTTTCCATGCCGTTTTTGGCATCCTCTTCCACTTGTCCCACTTGCACAGGCGCTGTACCACGCTCACGCCTTGTCCGAGGGGGGACAGAGGCACATCACCATCGCCGATTTGTCGCAGGGAGTGATTCACCCGAGCAAGGTGAGCGGACAGGACAGGCAGATGCTGACGCACTTTTTTGAATTGAAGCAAAAGCCAAAGCACCTTTCGTTTGTTGTTGTTCTCGGTGAGTCTTTTTGAGAGCATGTTGTGTTTGCTCGAGACGCTTTGGAGAATGAAGCCGCTGTTGTTCGTTGAGACTGCGAAAATGACGAACGCTTGTTGATGCCCGGCAGGCACACGGCGTCCCTCGGAATGTCGGTATGCCACCATGCCACCCCTGTCAGCCTTTATGGGTTGAGGAGGGCTCAACAACTGCGATGCGCACCACAGTACCCCTCCCCTACCCGAGTTTCACAAGGCTGCACCGTGAGCTGCAACGCGCCCAGCGGTGTACCTTGAGGTTTTCTTCATTTTTATAGGCTGCTGTTGACAAGGAAGACGCTCATGCGTTGCTGCGTTCGTCGAACTTGGCACTCTTGCACCTGCTGCTGTGTTGTTGCTCTTTTCCGAGCAGATGCTCGAGTTAGCCGCTGCGTGCACCATCGGGGCGTCGGTGGACGTCGATTCGGACTCGGAGATGCGCTCTCTCATTTTCTCGCACTTCAGAGTAAGTGGATTAGGTATCCGCGGCAGCAGTGCGCGGCGGTGTTCATGTGGTTCATGGCTGGTAGGCAGTAGACTACTGGCCGTCGGTACTGAAAACCCGTGTCACATTTATAGGCGTTGACGGTCATCACAGGCGGAACACATGCCTGGTACATACGGATGTTTGTTTTTGTTGTTTCGAGCGGGCGTTGTCAACCGACTCGTAGGCAGCAATTTCGTTCGGGGAGTGCCGGTGGAGTTAGGGTAGAGTGGAGGGCGCGTTTGCATGGTCTTTGCTCTTGACTCTGGCATGAACAAGTCGAGGTGCATGCATGCCCCGTGTTGTTCCCTTGGCTGGTCTGGTCTTGCTTTCTCGCAGAGAGAGTTTCACGTATATGTGGTGGTCACCGCAATAGCTCGCAGTGCTACGCGTCCCTCGACCTAATAGTGCCTGTCGCGTGTCTTGCGCTCACCATGTGCCGCACTCCTGTCTCCCTTGGGCTGGCTGCGATTGAGCAGGGTACCCAGAACAGGGGGTCGGCAGACCGCAGCCGTACCACCGGTTGGGGGTGGTCGGGCGGGGGGAGCGGTGCGGGCCCCGTGGATCCGGGAGACTACGACACGGACGAAGCCAACGCCTCGATGGCGATGCTGCCTGCTGTCCCCTGCAGGCGAGTGGGAAAGAGGACAGGGCACCGCATTGCAGCCACAAGTACAAGTATTCCCCCACCGATGCATGGTGGTTGTGGCAGCCCGTCATGCGCGAGTTCAGGGGCCCGGGGGGGGGGGGTTCGACGACATGGTCAACGCGTCCGCGAGCGCTGGCTAGTACTGCAAGCTATTCGAAAAGAAGCGCGTGTTTGCACTTTGGGTCCCCCGGGTAACACTACCCTTTCTTGGCGAGGGTTCATCGGGTTGTTTTTTGTTGCGTCAGGCGTTTGAGCTTCAGAGTTGGCTGACATGGAATACTACACGGATTTACTGCTGCTGTTTTGTCGCTGCAGATTCCGATATCAGCTCGCCGGTCGGCTGAAGAAGCAAGGCGAAGGCGTGGCCGGCGCCGCGAGGCACAATGACGGGTCCGCAGGCGCGGTCAGGGGTGCAAGGGCTAGAGCAAGGCCTTACGGCGGCAGGTGTGTGTGTGTGTGAGAGAGAGAGAGAGAGAGAGAGAGAGAGAGAGCATCAAGCGACAGCTCAAAATGCACAGGCAATGGTGTAAGCGAAGGACTACATAGAATGCACAGGTAATGGTTTAAGCGAAAGTAGTCCGCGTGTTGGTCGGAGCAGACCCTCTGGCTCTCTATCTCTCTCTCTCCCGTGTGCGCCGAAGACAGACAACGAGCGTTTTGCTGCATTTTAGGGGGCACCCTCGCTAGTCGCGGGATTTCCGGCCCTTTATTCCGCGCCATGTGTTCGCCCCAAGACATCGTTGACGGTGTGCACATTTCCATCTTTGTTTGTTTGTCCGTGCTCTCTGTGGTCTCCCTTTTTTGCAGCGGCGGTGGTGGCGGCGGCGGGTTCGACGCAGGAGGCGGACCCTCTGGCGGCGTGGACCGAGCAGCTGTTGTGACCCGCTTGCTGCAGACACCGGTGTACTCGGCGAGCGAGGGCAGGCCGGATGGCGGTGGCCGCGAGGACTCTCTCGTGGCGTCCAGGAACGGCGAGGCGTTGAGGTGGGATGCCAACGGTTGCGTCTGTCTGAGTGGCGGTTGCGTGCGTTGTCTTGGTTCGTTTGGCCGTTGTTGTGTTATTTGATTGCCTTTCCAACAACCCC